AGGAAACTTGAACCCCAGTTCTACAGTCGACAGGGACTGGATTCTACCAACAACCAACCAGGTGGGCTTAGAAGTAAACCCTTTAATGAATCCTCGAGACAAGAGCCCTGTGTGCGGACCGCTTGGGTTTTGGTGTTATAGTTCCCTGAGCATTGAAGCCGGAATAACCTACCTGGGCTTCTGACCTACAGAATCGTGAACTAATAAATGGGTATTCTAAACTGCTAAGTGTGTAGTGATTTGTTTTGCAGCAGAGACAATTAATACGTTAGCTAAAATCTCTACTTTATTCTTTTAGTGGTTGCTCTAGAGTTCAGAGTATATGTCTTTAATTTATCACTGTCCACTTCCAAATCATGGTATATCACTTTATATATAACTAGGAACTTAACAACAGTCTGTATTTCATTCCTCCCTCCTCATCCTCTGTGCTATTGTTGTCATAATTTTATTTCTAAATGTGTTTAAAACCTTATAATATATCATGTTTTTGTTTTAGTCAATTATCTTTAAAAAGTAAAATAAATTAGAAGTTAACTCTGTTATACTTATCCACATATGTTCTATTTTTGGCAGTTGTCATGGCCTCGAATAGGGCTAAAGTTGTACCCAGTGTCCTAGTCTCCATTCCTTTAGTATTTTTTACAGTGAAAGTCTGCTGATGATGAGTCCTCTCTGCTTCTCTTTGTCTGAAATAGTCTCTCATCTTTGACAATTTCCCCCCCTTAGAGGACTTTAAAGGTACCAGTGTGTTTTGGCTTGTGTTGTTTTACATGAAAAGTCTGCATATTTCTTGTCTTTATTTTTCTGTTTATGATGTATCTCTTTTCTCTAGCATCGCTTAATATCTCATCCCAAATTGTCAGTATTTGATTGCAGTGTTCCTTATGTAGTTTTCTTTGTTTAGCTTGTTGAATCTGTGAGTCTAATTCTCATGACATTTGGAAAAACTTCAGTCATTATTTCTTAAAGTACTTTCTACATGATCTCCCTCTTCTCCTTTAGGACTCGAGTATACATATTATTAGTCTGCTTGACATATTCTGACAGTACGCTGAAATTCTATTAACTTAAATGTCTTTCTTCCTCTGATTTCTTTTGGATAGTTTCTGTTGCTATGTATTCAGTTTTTTTTTAAAGAGTGAATATGGAATTATTTACAATTTTTGAATCTGCACTCATGAGTAGGCATTTTTAGTATTAGGATTAGTTCATTGATAACTTTTTTATGTTTCTTTTTATTTTTCTGTTTCTCTTGATTATTAGTGGGATAAATGTTCTGTAAAATCTGTGTTCAGTTTTTAATCTTTCCTTCTGCAGTGTGTAATATGCTATTATTTCAGTGACTTTTATTATGCCAGTGATTTTTTAATTCTAGATAATGTCTTTCTAATGTTTAAATGTTTTATCTTGGGGTTTTTAATATGTCTTTTATTTCTCTCATTTTCATTTAACTTCTTGAACTTATTTAATTTGTTTTTTTAATGTTCTCATCTGCCAATTACAATATTTCTGTCATGTATCTGTTTTTGTTGAATGGGTTTTCTCCTGGTTAAGGATTTCTGACTTTCTGGCATGTCTAATAATTTTTTATATGGATGTTGGCTATTCTAATGTTGGATATTGTTGAATAATTGCATTGTGTTATCCCCCTTTAAAGATTGTAGAATTTTGTGTTTGCAGGCATTTCAGTTACTTACAGATCAGCTTGATATTTTTGAGGCTTGTTTTTAAGTATTGTTGGAGTGGACCCAGAGAAGCTCTACTGCAAGGCTGTTTTAGCACCAGTATTTAGGTATGAAATTTCCTGGGTTTCTACCGAACACCTGTAGTAGTCAATAAGGCCTCCCTGTTTGATTGGTCAGAACTTGAATAAGTCTCCATTCTGAGTGAATTCTGAAAATTGTGTAACCTACAGTTTGTGGTAGGTAGAATTCTAAAATGACCTCAGTGATGTTAACACTTGTAGAATCCCCTCCCGCTGGATTTTAGAAGATCCTGTGAATACAGTCACTGCTGCCATTATATTACTTTATCTGGCAAGAGGGGGGGCGGGGGGGGAGAGACAGAGAGAGAGAGAGAATTTCAAGGTATGCCTGACTTCATCAGATGATCCCTTTAAAAAAAAAGATTTCTCTGGCCAGTTGCAGAAGGGAAGTCCAAAATATGAAAAGCTTGATTATGTATTAATTTCAAATGTCTAGTTGTTTATGGTTAAAAAGGCAAATCTGGTACTAGTTACTTAATCATGGAATTTTAAAATTCACTTACTTTACTTAATTTGCAGCTCACTAAATCCTGCTGTTATTAACCAGTCTTTAACAGTAGGAGAAACTTCCCTGGCTGGTGTGGCTCAGTGGATTGAGTGCCAGTCTGTGAACCAAAGGGTTTCTGGTTCGATTGCCAGTCAGGACACACGCCTGGGGTGTGAGTTAGATCCCCAGAATGGGGTGTGTGAGAGGCAACCACACACTGATGTTTCTTTACCTCTCTTTCTCCTTCCTTTCCCCCTTTCTAAAAATAAATAAATAAAATCTTTAAAAAAAAAGTAGGAGAAACTAAGTTGGAAGGAAAGGAATTGAAAGAGAGTAACTATATCCCCAAAGCATAAAAACCACTCTTTTTTACATGACTTTTAAGTCATGTGAAAATATTTTGTTGTAATGAATTATACAGAGAATAATTAATAAACCTCTATGTACTTCATAATCAGCTTAAGAACTAAAATGTCATCAGTACAATTAAGGCCCTTGTGTCCTTTCCCCAATTATTCTTCCTCACCGATGTACCTGAATTCAATGTCATGAATTCCCAGGCATTTCTTCATATTTTTCTTCATATACATGCATTCTTAAAATTATCTTTGCATTTTTTGAAATGTTATTTAATTTCAAAATGTAGGTTTTTTTCTGGTTTCTTTTTTTGTTGTTGTTTAATGTTTTGTTGTTGTGAGAATGAAAAATCGATTCGTGCTTAGAATTCCATCGTGTGGATATACAGCACAGTTTATTCATCCAGTCAGCTATTGGGAGACATTTGGATCTTTCCGGCTGGTTTGAAGCAGCGACTGCTGAAACCAGCTTTCGTACAGATGTGACCAGCACACCTGTAGGTAGGGGAGGGTTTCTGTCGGGAGTGCCCTTCACAGCAAAGTCAGCAGACAATAGGGTATTTGAATCTTTACATGACTAAATTATTGCCCGTTGTTCTTCAAAGTGGTTGTCCTAACTTGCTTTCCCACCATAAGGTTTCTAGTTGTTTCACATCCTTATAACCGTTGGTACTGTCAGAATTAATCTGTGAGTAATTATATAGATGACAAATGTAATATTATTATGATCTAAATTTGCATTTCCCTGATTATTGATTAGACAGAATACTTTTCAGTAGGTTCTCTGGGCAGATTGGTATGAATATGATTATTCCTGAATATGGCCACTTCAATTTCTCAAATCCTGTTAGGGTTGACCTACAGACATAACGTCTGAATTCATAAGATACGCTAGGAAAATGTTTCAAGTATAAAGTTATTCCCTGAGTCATTTAAATTATTTCTGGTCATCACTACATGATTTGTGCCAGCTGTTCAGTTGTGCCATGCTCAGGTGTGGAAGTCTGAGCTTCTCCTACTCTGGTTTTTCCGGTTCTAGAAAGAACAACAATAAACCTAAGTCATTGGAGCAAAAAGAGAGTCTAAGTTATTAGGCAGAATGTGACATTACTCTGGCTAAGACTGGCTAATAGCAGCAGGATTTGGTGAGCTCCAAAGAGCCCAGTGTATTATATATAAACACATTGCAGGATTTTTGTTTATTTAACTAAATCCGATGATGGAGCCTTCGTTCCGGGGAATTTTCAAAGTGGCTTCTGTAAGTGTGAGCATGCCAGTGCTGTGCAGAGGGGTGGAAGCAGGTAGGATTCGGGCCCCCTCTTCCCTTTGTTCTGTGCATCACTGGGGAAGCTGATGACAGAGCTTTCCCAGGTTCTCTCCACAGCCAGTGTGGAAATCTGCCAAGAAAAAATTATGTTTTCTAAACAGGTAGTGAGTCCAATTGTGTCTTTTACAAATACATACATCTTCTGAAAATTATTTCTGGTAGAAGGAACCAGAAGAATCCCCCTAAATCTCTTCTTGCTGCTAAATGGGCATGGTTTTGAGCCCAGAGAATATATTTTCTGTCCTTTCCATAATTTCAGTTGTCATTTGCCAAGCCATATTACGGTATGCTGCCTGCCGCCACCAATGGCTCTGGATCATCAATACTGTACCCTCGCTTTAAGAATTTCACAAATCATTGGGCAATAGTGTTTCTGTGTTTCTCTGTGGTAGTCCAAGTAAAGCACAGCCAAGGTAAGTAATGCAATTTGTAATTGATTTGGGAATGTACGGTTGGTCGTTTTATTTTGGGGAAATGACTATCTAAGTTTGAGTATCTAAGTTAACAATGCTTTGTAAAGATTTTAGTTCATAAACACTGAAAACCTGAGGAGTATTTAGTTCCAGTTGGACAGCAATTTGCTCTGCATCAGTCTTGATTATTGCATTTGGTTGATTTCTCTATGACTCATGGGCTAGACTCTTTCTACCACCTCTTCTGGTAGAAATTTCTAAAGCATAAAAAGGTTTCTTCACATTCACACTAAATTGTCTCATTTATTATTTAGACTACCCTGATTCTCTTTGCACATCTTCGATATTTGTTAAACCCCACTAGTCAATACAACTAGACCATAAATGTGATATTTTAAAGTCATGGGCATGTCGTTTTGGTAATTGGTGCCTTTCTGTTGAACTGTGTGTGTGCATCCATGTTTTGCATTTGTCCTTAGGTGAGCAAAAATGGAAGTAATGTTTTTAAGATTACCTTTATCACCCGCCTTTCTCTTTCTTTTATGTTTATGACCCGCTCTTTAAATGTGCATCTGACCTTCTCTTATCATCAGCTGTGTTGCCCACGTGTAGCTGTCATGGACTAATGCCAGCCGTTGTCTCTCTCCAGGTGATCCAGGCTGTCTTTTTTGGCATCTGTGTGCTGACTGATCTTTCTAGTCTTCTGACTAGAGGAAGTGGGAACCAAGAACAAGAGAGACAGCTCAGGAAGCTCATCTCTCTTCGGGACTGGATGTTAGCTGTGTTGGCCTTTCCTGTCGGGGTTGTGAGTATGATGTAGAATGCATTTAACCACAAAGAAACTTGGGCCTTATTTCAGACTTCCGAGAGAAAAATGACTCATTATAGGTGATTGAAATGTTAGTTTGCTCTAACTGCCATCACAAAGCATCACAGACTGGGTGGCTTAAACAGCAGAAATTTATTTTCTGCCCCACAGTTCTGGGGGCTAGAACTTTGAGATTAAGGGTTGATTTCTCTGGGGCCTCTCTCCTTGGCTTATAAGTGGCCTCTAGGGACACATATTGGATTAGCCCCACCTCCTGCAATGACCTCATTGAACCTTACTTTTTTTTTTTAAAGGTCCTACCTCTAAATACAGTCTGAAGTACTATGAGATTAGGACTTCGACATAGGAATTTCGGGGAGACACAATTCAGCAGTTTCTTAAACTGCCCAAACTGGAAATGTATGGCCCTTGGGTCTATGATCATTCTAGTGTTTTTGAATTTGAGAGAGACGAAGTCAGCATTATTTTATACTTCTTCTGTTACCCAACTGTGCCATTAGCCAATATCACTTAAGTAAATGTTTAATATTTGGATCTGTTAGGGTCTGTCTGAAACATAAACCATATATCTTTAAAAGACCAGGAACCTATGAGATTCTGCAGATTTTTTTAATGGGTGTAGAGCCAGGAGGTGAGAGAACTCATAAATCTCAAACTGTGAGTGCAAGTAAGAGTGTATTGCCTAATTCATATTCAGACCTTTCATGTGACAGCTGATTTCTGGGTATAACAGACACCCAAGTGAGCTAGACCTACATGTATTACATCCAAGGTCCAATGTAGCAAGAGTCGAAAGTTGGTTCGTATTCATATTTTTCAGATCTGTGGCTAGTGGAAGCTCAGCATGCTTCTTCTAAGACTAATTTTTGCCATGTATAGTGCACACCCACATTTTCGGCCAAAACTTTCAGGAAAAAAAATCTTTCGTTTTAATTTTTTAATGCAATTATTTATTTATTTATTTATTTATTTATGTTTAGATACTTGTTTTTTTATATTATAAAGGAATTTTAGCATTTCTCTTTGAGTACTTTATGGTCCAGGAAATTTTATGTAACACGTAATTACAAAACACAAGCAGAGATACAAGATGTTTCAGGTATTACTACCCATGTATAACGTGCTTCCTTATTTTCTCCTCAATAATTTGGAAAAAAAGAGCACACTATATATAGTAAAATATGGTAATAAGCGCCCAGACTGTCACTGAATTGCCTTTTTTATGGACTGAGTTATACATTCCTGAGTAAAACAGCCCTTAGCTCTAGACAACAACACAGGAGGTTTATGATAATCTGGTTGCACTTTTCTCATTCTTATCCCCTGAAAACCTAAATCGGTGCTCAGATTGAAGCTATCTAGAAAAGCTCTCAAATTCAGTTGCTTAATGTAACACAGTTAAATGTTTTATGTCTTATTTAATATTTCCTTCTTTGGACTTGCCTTATAAAATTCTAATGCTTGTCTATCAAAATAGTCATCTAAGAGAAAATTGCCATTGGCATAAGGTACAAAAACATATACTTCCTGCATAAAGGACTTATTCAAGTCCATGTGCTTTTTTGTTTCTTTTTATCCCTCACTCCCTTGGTATTTCTATAGACATGTCATTGCCTCTGGAAGTCTTCCCTGACTCGAAGGAATACAATAGTAATACAACACCAAAGTAAATAAGGATAAACATTACCATGTTTTTGATTATCTCTGCCTCTCCTTCTGTTATGTGATGTCAAACTGTGTCTCCAGGGCTTGCATTGTGAGTCTTGCCACTCTCATCAAAGGCTCATTACATATGCTCTTCAGACAGTTGGACCTGACTTTGGCCAGGAACTTTTTGCACCTGCTTGAGACTTAAGATATTTGTTATGCACAGATTATTTGGTCCATGTACACTTTTTGGTTTGTAAAATGAACAAGGGACTTTTTGTTTCATTCCTTGTTTGAGCACATCTGACATTCCCCCCATATTTTACCGTTTTTGTTGTTTTTTTGTGTCTTAAAAGAGGAAAGAGCAATGATACCTTTGGTATCTATCTTCTCCCCCTTTTAAACCAGAAGTCATAACATCACGTTTCCATTATATATGTATGCACCTTTCCTAGCTGAGGAGCTTCGTAGGAAAATTTACAAATAATCCATCGGAGAGGTACAGCTTCACTGATTTCTTTACCTCATTCTTTTCCTGCGCACTGATATTTTACAGTCAATGTTTCCATTTTTAATAATCTTCCCTGTTTTTATGAGACCCTTACCATTTTAGAGTCACTAGTCTTAGGTTCCTCTCTTACATTTGTTTCTCGCCTTCCTCCCTCTCTCCCTTCTCCTCTCTCTCCACACCTACGTATTTGGAAGAATCCTGGCTAGCAGTCTCCAGAAATCCCCTTATATTTTCCACTGTTTCTCTCTTACTCTTTCATTTGACTTTTTATACGTATTTATCCAATTTCTACCAGATTTCTGACTCTTAATACACACACATTTATTTTGAAGCAAAAATTGGCAAATGGCTGCTTCTTAGACCCCATTAACTTTATTGCAAAATCGTATTAACAAAGGATATGAACTTAGCTTTTTACATGCATTTTAACCTGTCAAATAACAAAAATTTAATCTAGTGATGTTAGGGATCAAATTGGCTTTACTCAGTGATTCATGAATTGGACAGCTTCCCCTCTATCACATAGAAAGGAATTCCACCAAGCTATAGAAAAGGAAAGATTTTTTTTAAAGGCAGAAAGGGGTCGGAAAAAGAAATTATTAGGAAAGAATGTGCAGGCGAGGTTGCCCTCCTAAGGGGAATGGAAGGAGCCTATAGTCTGGTTATCTTACTAATGCCAACCCGGTCATTTCGTGTTCACTGGTTAAAAGTGACATTCCTGGCCAGTGGAAACTGTAGCTACCCTAAGTATTAAATCTTGGTTTGCTGACCTGGGGACTACCATGAGTGACTCCATTTTGGGTCTGTTGTCTCTTTTATAACAAACCCAATATATTTTCATCATCGAGACCTATAATTTTATCGCTTCTTTTGCCTTCCTTTCCCCAAGGCTATTTCCTAGCTCTCTTTTCCCTGCCTTTGCTGTGACCTCAGAACTGCCGCCTGCCCCTCCTGGGTCTCCCCTCAGAGCCCCCAGCTGCTCAGCGGGTCCTGGACTTCCACTTTAGTTCTACCTTTCCTCCTTATAAAAATGTGAACCCTTCCTGGACCAGTGCCCTGAGGAGTCACTCGCAGAGGCTTCGGGTTCACACTCCCCGTGGCCCCTGGCCTGGAGCGAGGTGCCCAGCCAGAAGGGTTTTTTAACGTGAGAAAGAAGGGAACAGCACTAATGCCCAGGACCTGCTGGACATAGAGTTATACACGTAGCAATCCATAGTGTAAGAAGGTTTATCATAGGAGCAAATGATTAATTATAACATTTGCAGTTACACATCTTTCACTGTGTTGGTTATAGTCAGGAACCCCAGAGCCTTGGGTGCGGCTTCCTGAGGAGGAAGGTGCGAGCTGAGCCACTCAGAACCTGTCCGTGGTCCCTTCAGGCCCCGGGTTCTGATGGCCAGGTGACCGCCCACCTCTCAGAGCGCCTCCCCTGCCACTTTCTGCTGCCTTCCTCAGCCCCACGCCTTTTGTCTGTCATCCAGAAATTTGCAGGGGAAAGCAGTGTGTATTTTTGTTTCCTGGTGCAGGGCAAACAGGCAGAGGGCAAAAATAGAGGGCACGGTGGCAGCTGAATTGATCACTTCTGCCCAAATTTTCCTGAGGAGACAGACCTCTCAACCCCAAGCTTTTCCTGGTGCACCCATTATCTCTCTGTCACCTCAGTGGCGACTACAGCAGCCAGGGTAGGTTATCGAGGATTTGCATTTTTTACACTAATGCTTCCTCCCATCACGAGGTCAATTGAGAATTGACAGTAATTGCTTTAAGCGGGCACAAAGCCCTCAATGTGGCTTTGTGACCCATGACCCTAATGCATCTATTGCATGGACTCTCTCTATCTCAAGGATGTATAAAAATAATGAAACATTTCAGTCACAGATAATTGGAATAAAGTTTGTTGCAGCATAACCTTGAGGAAATCAGGCGGCGTTGCTTGAGTGAGCGTAGCATGTGTCATCCTACTTGAGCAGATTCCCATAAATGCTAAGCTGGCCTTGGTTAGTAACGCTAATGGCCGGAAACCACCACCACTCCCAAAGCCTTGCCACTCACTTTGCAGGCATAACCCATGGGAGGCTCCTCTTACCATGTAAAGTTTATTTCTGAACCCTGTCACCCTTTTAAAGAAGCATTACAAACAATTCTATGACATTATGTGGTCTGGAAGCACTGAAGCTTATTAGGAGCAATCAGACTAAGAATGTCTTTTGTCTCCTGTGAGTTCATTGACTTTTTGGCTGGCAGATACTCTTCTAGTTAAGAGAATAGACTAAGGTTTCAACCAAAAAAAAATGATGAGGAAAAAGAGGAAGAGCAACAGAGAAAATGAGTATGGTGAATCCTACATGTGTCTCTAACTGCTATCCTAAGCAGCCCTTGTAGTGACAATGGCCGTATGTTTTCCATTAATTCAAGCCTATGCGTCCCATTCAATTGCAGCTGCTCAGCTTGCGTAATACACGTAATTCAGTCTCATCACCTCCCCAGTATACCTTTGTCCCTGGTGCTACTTGGTTGCTCTAGACCAGATGCTGGCTGCTGCTAAACTATCCTTGACTCACTCAGGGACAATGGAAGATGCCCCTCCCTTAATAAAGAGGGACTGTGTCCGGGAACGTCCTGGAAGTTTGGATATGTTCTAACCTGCGATGAACATGTAGTGTAGAAGGGACAAATCAGCATGTACCAGGATGAACTTTTCTGAAATTTGATTGCCTTAGTAAAACATTTCTGGTGTTATAATCATGTTCTTCTAAAGACTTCGTGAATATTTTATTCTATTCTAGAATCCTTTAAAACTTGTGTTCATTCTTGTGAT